GGTCTCTTTCCCTTGTTTTGGAACAGCACGCTGCCCGCTGGGATCAGGGACATGGAGGTCTGAGAAGCCTCTCCTGACCCGGGCCTGCTGTGCCCCCGAAGCATGAAGCTGTGCTGCTCCCTGTGAGATGCGGGCACCACTGATGCTATGAAAAATTCACCACTGGATATTCATTGACCCCTGTGGTTTGTGAGGTTTGTTCCATGTGGCTTCACGGCCTCCTGTCTTAGGCCACACGTTCCTCTGGGCAGAGACTCTGGGCAGACCCCCTCCTGTCCTGGGGCTCAGTAGGGCCCTGAAAACACGGTGGTGGAGTGGGAAGAAAGCGGGGGGTGAGGGCGCCCTCAACTCTGCAGAGTCAACCTTGGGGGGTGCCTCCTCCTGCCCGTCTGCTCCCTGCCCCTCCCCCAGTCATCACAGCTTCCACATCTTTCTCTGGCAGGTGGTTGAGGAGCTGAGGTCCGAGCATCATACCTGGAGATGGAGCCTGGCAGGGAGAAGATGAGCTCATGTTGGCAAAGTTGCATGCTGGCAGAAAACAGCCTGTTTTCCAGCCCTGGGGCAGATTCCAGCTTCTCCAGTCACGTTCAGTCAACAGCTGTAGCCTGAGAAGCCAGAGGGGAGAAAGCTACTCCAACCAGGGGGGGAGGCCTGCTGCTTCCTGATCCCATCATACAGCCCCGCTGGGGAGGGGCCGGAGTGGGAGCCCCCTGTGGTCCTTCATCCTCGAGTACAGAGAAGACAAGAGAGAGGCAGGATTTCTGCCCAGGGCTGGTCCACCCCAGCTCAGCTGAAACAGACATCTCCAACCCAGACTCCACAGGGGTGGACAGAAGGCAGTTTGGGGCCCCTCCCACCCAGACTGTGGGGCAGGCCCAGGATGCATGCCTGTCTTAGATGCTGACCCTTCAGGAGTGGCTGCCCTGGATGGGTTGGGGCTGGCATGAGAGCCTGAGATCTGGCCTCTGGGTCACTGTGCTGGGCACCTGTTGGCCATGTTTGTAGAGCGTGCACACTGTTACTCCTGATCTCTGCAGACTGTCCTTGAAGGATGTGTGCTCCTAACAGCACACTGGGTCTGGGTAATTTTTTTCTTTCTCTTAAAAGACAGACTTCTAAGAGTAGCTTTAGGTTCACAGCTAAACTAGGTAGAAAGTGTGATGTTTCAATATTCCTCCTCCCTCACACCCACAGCCTCCCCATCATCTCCCCCGGTTGGTACTTGTGTTACAACTGATGACCCCACATGGACATGTCATCATCACCCAGAGTCCATAGTTGACCTCAGGGGTCACTGTAGGTGTTGTGTGTCCTGTGGGTTTGGCCAAGCATATAATGACATGTATATTATCCATCAATACAGTATCATACAGAGAAGTTTCACTGCCCTAAAAATCCCCTGTTCCCCACCTGTTCATCCCTCCCTCTCCACAAACTCTCAAAATCAGACCTTTTTATTGGCATAGTTTTGCCTTTTCTGTAACATCAAAATAGTTGCAATCACATAGCATGTAGCCTTTGTTCCATGTCTTTTCATGACTTGACATCTTGCTTATTTTAGCATTTAATAATATTCCCATCTGGATGCCCTGTAGTTCATTAATCCATCACCTACTGAAGGACACCTTGGTTTTCAAGTTTTAGCAATTATGAATAAAGTCGCTGTAAAAAAGCACCCATGTGCAAGTTTTTGTATGGACATGAGACTTTTAAGGGACAGGGAGGTGGTTTACTGTCTGGTCCTCGCTGAAAGCTTCCCTTGTAGCTCAGTTGGTAAAGAATCTACCTGCAATGCAGGAGACCAGGGTTTGATCCCTGGGTTGGGAAGATCCCGTGGAGAAGGAAATGGCAACCCACTCCAGTATTCTTGCCTGGAGAATCCCATGGACAAGAGAAGCCTGGCAGTCTAAATTCTATGGGGCCACAAGAGTCGGACATGGCTTAGTGACTAAATCACCTTGCTGGAAGGTCTCAGGGTAGGGCTGCGTGGATTAGCTTCCCTGGGGGACCTGGAAATATCTGCTTTCTCACTGGTTCAGCTCCAGGGGGAACCCATGTCTGTGTGTCTGGGAAAGAGGGCAGGCGAAGGAAGCCACTGATGGAGAGGGAAAGGCAAGGCAAACAGGGGAAGAAAGAGAAAGAGAAGAAAAGGCTGTGTGGATTAAACCAGAATCCAGATTTTTCTGATCCCATTGCCAAACTGTAACAGGGGACACGGATGTCGAGTTGTTGAGGCAGGTTTGTGTGTCTGTAAGAGGGCAGAGAGTAGACCATCTGTATTTGATGAACATTCTGCTTTTATTATGAAAAATGAAGCCTGGGGGTTCAGAGGGGGTTAAGAGATTAAGGACTTGGATACAATCCTGGAATTTCATTGAGTTCTTTTTAACTTTTGCATTTTTAATGAACAATTTCAAGCATTTCTTCAAAAAGATATGCAGAGTATAATGAATTCTCATGATGCCTCATCTTGCTTCAGCAGTTCTCAACTTATGTGGTTTGGTTTCCTTTCTATCCCTAACTATGCTCTTGCCCTATAATTTTGAAGGAAATCTCAGACCTCATGTGATTTTTATCCATAAAGATTTCAGTGTGTCTCCCTAGAGAGACTGCAATCATAGTACTTCTGTTAAACATAAAAACATCACCATATCTTGTGCACTTTACCCAGTCAATTCTGGATATTTTGGATTGTTTTATTTAAAAAACAATTTGTTCGATTTAGGATCCAAGTAAGTCCATACATACATCGCAATGGTTTGATATGTCTCTTAGATGTAGGATTCCTCCATCTTTCTCTCTGAATTAATTTTACTTTGCTGAAGAAACTCACTTGTCTTAACTTCCTGCAGGTCAAACTCAGGCTGACTTTCTTGGCAAGACTGCTTAGGTGGGGGGTGGGCCCCCTGTCAGGAGGTATGGTGGTCTTTATTAATGGTTGACATCTAGATCCACCAGGTCATGAGGGCTTACAAAATGGTGGTATTCTATCATGCCTTCTTCACTGATTAGCTGGGCCACTGCTCTAAAGAAAACATTCCCTTCCTCAACTGTCTAGTTACCCTGAGATATGGTTTGTGGAAGAAAGGGCAGAATAAATGTTTATCAGTTTTCAAAGGAGTTGGGTTTCCTGAGATACTCCAAAGGGCATTTAAAAAGTGGTTTTCTTCTTATGGATTTTGCAGCTCTGAGTTTAAACACTCATTATCCCAGTGAATGTGTCCATTGTCTCAAAGCCTCATGATAAATAGGACTATGGACACTGAATCTGAGGAAACTACCTGGTAAGTCTGAAGACTTTCAGTTAGTTCTGGATTTGCTCACACATGCAGGCAAAATCCCAAGCCTCTTTGATCTGGGAAGGTCTCTGATCTAGGATTGAGGGAGATTTTCTTTGCTAGGATATTCCACTCATGGGAACTGGCTTCACTGGACAAAGGGATGTGATTCTTTCTAGGGTGTTCTTTAATGTTGATTAAGAAAAGTCCAAGTTTGCAGGATGTTATCAGCTACTTTCACCTCCAGGACTTGTAACCCTAACAGTATACCACCCATCCAGTGGTATTGTCTCCTGTGGGACAATGGGACAGTGTCTCCTTGAGGGACCGGGAGTTCTGATGAGGAAGAGAACCAGAGGGATGCCCACTCTGGTCTGCATCTCAGTTACCAAGACTGAACAATGGCAGCCCAGACCAGGCATCTGTTGATGGTTGTTAAAATGAACTCAGTCACATTAGCGTCAGGCATATATACAGAAAACCAAGCACTGTGCTGGGTGTGCACGTTCGCCCAAGCACTAAACGTACAGGAGAGCTAAGTCAGCACAAGAGTGGCCAGTCACCTGGATCAGCCAAGGAGACGCCAGTCTTAATCGATTCAAAGGTAGGGCTTGGTGACACTGGTGCCCCTCTGGCTGACGATTCACCCAGGCGCCCGTGCCTCCCCTCCCATTGTGCACACAACCAGACCAAAGGTTCAGAAAGACCACCCTTTGCTCAAAACAGACAAACACAGTGTTTTGAGTATTCTGCTTGTATATATTCAACTCAGACTCTGTGAAGAGTTTAAAGGCAAACTGAGAAGATAGTAAGTAGATATGTCAGTACTTCCTACATATCATTTGCATAATGGCTACAGGTTGGATCAGTGATGACTTAAGAGCTGACTCATGGAATTCTCTGTATCAGAATTACTGGGGGGGGGGGGAGTGTTGACAAATATAAATTATGACCCCTGTACCCCACCTCCCCACCTCCCACACACTGATTCAGTAAAACAGGTGTGGAAACTGGGGGAGGGGAGCTGGGGGTGAGGCCGTTACCTTTATTTTTTTCAAAGTACCCCTCATGACTCTGATGCCCAAACAGGCTTGAGAACTACTGCAATAAATAATCAGAGATTTTCAAATACAGATGCAATTTCTGAAGGGTGTTCATTCTACACAGTTACTCAGTTTCTGGGTCTTATTTCTTCCCTAGAGCGATCCCAAGAAAGCTATACAGTTTCTAATAAAACATCTTTTGATTAAGAACATCTGAACTATTGTTTCAACAACTTAGGAAGCTTATCAAGGTAACTCTGAAAGAAACTGTATCTTACAACATCTCTAGGAATGATTAGAAATCTTGCTGATTTCCGATCACAACCACTGGGGTAATCTACACTATTGGGTTTGAATTTGCAGAGCTAGAAACCTGAGTTACCTAAATTAAAATCTGAAATTAATTAATGAAGGTCCTTTGTTACTAGCTTGACTACTATATCCAGAAAGTGGCCAGGTGTTCCGCTGTCTTCAACTGCTATTTCTGATTAGAGTGTGTTCTAATTGGTTTAATAAGATTAAAAAAACTTGACCTAATCTAATTTTTCTCTTACTTTTTGATGCATTTTGAAGGCATATTTGTGACCTTCTAAAACCTCTGTGAGGCTTGTCACCACCTCCTTGGCTGTAGCAGCATGTTCTGGCAGAGGTCCAGCAAACATCCACCAGTCAGGAAACCTTTAGGGTGATTATGGGTGTGACTCTTTTTTTAATTGTACAATTCATTTATACAGAGAAATCATTTGGAATTAATTATTTACAGTCTTTTTCAGTTTTCATTTCCACTGGCCAGATACAGTTCACATAACAGTCCACGTTTACTGGAACGGTCACCATAACAAATCTTCCACGACATGGGTTTTCAGTCCTCCCCCATCTAAGACAATGATTGCATTTGAACAGAAACATTTCAGCGTAAAACATCAATCTCTTTTCCCCTCTTAACGAATAAATCTGCCAGAATGCATCTAATATGGTCAAATTTTCAACACATTTCTTTTCAAACCCCTTATTTGCAAGTACTGTAAATCAAGGCAAACACAGTTCACATCCCCCAAGCCTTCTACGACTTACTACATACTCTCGACTTCAGCTTTTACTATCTCTTCTCAGAAATGTCTGGCACAAGCAGACATTTTTACTTTAAGACAAAACTACACTCTTTTTCCATCTGTTTTTTTAAAAAAAATACCTATTACCAGTCAACTGCCTTCCCTCTTGCTTTTCAGAGAATATTAACTTTCCATGAAATCCTTAAGATGGTTTTCTTTCAGTAGTTCAGAACACACTGAGTCATTTCATGTGTGTCCACCACCCTGAAACACTACATTTTAAAAATCGCAATTTTCTTAATTGGCTCAAAAACAGTATGGCTTGATTTCACTTGGTAAAGTTAATATGATTTAAAAAAACACACACACACACATTTTTAATCAAGGGAGAAAAATACTTTAAAGACATGCCAATTTGAAAAGGGATCAAAGTAAAAAAATAAAAAGGAAATACTAAAAACTACTTTACAATAAAAAAAATTAAATAATCGGCAGGTTAAATCAATGAAAAATGAGGAATGTGCAGTGAAAAACAAACTAATAAAAAGCATTCCAGTTGGCAAAATGGAAAACCTATTAAGTTTTGTTTGTTTTCCAAGGAACTTATGTTTCAATGTAAATTTTGAAATATTACAGACATTCCAAGTAGATCTTAGATGCCAATGTTACAATTTCAAATTCTGCATGCAAAGTTCATCAAAGAAACACTGGTAAAATCCTGGTATTTGCAAAATTTTAAGTTTTGGCAAATACTGTAAGTATCACAATTGGTATTAAAAAGTCATGATAAATGCAGAATGAGAATACCCGTTAAGTATTTCATTTGATTAAAAATACCAGGTTTGCATGTTCTAAATGATCTGAAAAGGAAAAAAACAAAAACAAAAAACTGCAGTTTAACAGTAATCTGTATATATATCTTTAGCTGCCATTAAAAAAAATAAAAGAACAACAACCAAAACCAACCACACACACAGAAGACATGAGACGGTACTAAGTAACGCTGCCGTGCTCATAGGACAGAAAGAAAAACTGTACAAGGTCATAAATAAAGTCTCTCCCAGCTGCTAGCCAGAGCTTCCTTTACACCAGGGTCTCCTTCCGCTTGCCACCGACCTGGGCTTTGTCCCTGGCTTTGCGGAGGCTGGTCTGGGCTCGGGGTGCTTTTATGCCCATAGTGTTGTCTGCTGTATGAACCGGGGCGCCACACTCGGCAGTGTCTCCATCAGCTTCGCCCTGAGTCATGCTAGAGGCCGTGGACGCCTGTCTCTGGGCCCTAGCATTGCTGGTGGTGGTGGGGTTCTCCCCGCACTCCTCGTGGAACTCCGAGGGGCTGGTGGCCTGTTGGAAAGGGGCGATGGCAGTGCGGATGCAGCTGAACCACTGCTGCTTGTGGAACACGTCGTTGGCTTGGAGAGTGTGGGACTGGCCCGGAGAGGGGTCTTGGAAGCGAACTCGGAAGATGTTTTTAGCTAGAAAAATAAACATTGACAAAAGGAAATCAGACTTAGAAAGCTTATCCTAGACGATGTGGTCAGACTACATGAGTATGGGTGCTGGTCTCGCCACAGCAGGCACATCTATCTAGGAGGCAGTGCCCTACGTATTATGTATGTATGAGGCAGTGCCCATGTGTATCAGGTACACATGCTGGAGTCAGAGCGCCACAGCACCTGACAACTCAGCGAGTGGACCAGGTCGGGACGACAGAACCCATTTCACGTTTAGTGTTTTGTCTGGGGACAGATTCTTAATTATCATAGCTGAAATCATTCAGGTTTAGAGTTTATGATCTTTGAAACCATTTTAAAGTGTGACTGGTACCTTTATCTGAGTTGCCAAAAGCCCCTCGGAAGGACCCTCCCATCCTCACGTCTCCATCCTGCAGGTCTTCCAAGACTAGCTCCTGGACAGGGATGGGCTGCCGGTAAACCTGGTAGGAGTGACGCTCATTTCGAGTAACAGGCCGAGTCAACACCAAGATGTCTTGAAATAGGAAAATGTACAGTTTCTGGAGAAGCAAGAAACAAATACTTCTTAAATGTAGAACTTTGTGACTTTGAGTGAAATCCATTGTTAAAAAAACGTGACTGGATCTTAATTTTATCAAATTGATTTACTAAGATCCCCTTACAAAGGACTTCATAAAGATGGTGCTTTAAAAGCAATGCACGTTCTCCTTGGAGAGTTTTTCTCACTGTAGACTATACACAACTTTTCTGTCCATGTGTAACATTAGATCAGCAGCAGCTGAGCAAACGCCACGCACCACAAAGACCTGTCAGTGGCGGCGTGACTGGAAATGCCAGGACTGTACACTACAGTCTTCTAACAGGGTGAGAACTTAAAAATGTAAGCTGGTAAAAATGTTAATGGTTCTGTTTTCTCTAAACAGAGACAAACCTAAGCTTTTACAGAACAATGAGGCCTTGTAAGAGAAATCAGAGATGGAAGATTAACTTTTTCCAAAAATAACCCCAACTTATGAATTGGGCTTCTGAAAAGCACATGATGAAATAAAAAAACCATTCCATGTGTATACTTAGTTCCAGCAGGTACCTTTGTAACTAAGATTGAGAAAAGAAGTCTGCTATCATTCTGTCTGCTGTAAAAGTTTGTTTCATAGTGCTAAAAACTTCCAATACTATAAACTCTTCAAAAAATTATTCTGAAGAATGTACTTTTTTATTAAACATCATAAAACTAGTTAAGTTATTTAGAAAGGAACCCCTAGCCAAACAAGTTGACTTATGCTTCAAAACTAAAAAATAAATTATTACTGACTCTTCACCAAGACATTTAAGTCACTTACAGAAACCAACTATTTACTTTATCAAAGCTGATAACATAAAATCCAGTTACTTTCAGTATGTGATGAGTTTATTTTATAAACCTGCTTCATAATTCAAGTGGAAAAAACTAAACAATGGGAAAAGGGCAGGAACTGCTCACTTCATATTAATGTTAGATGCACTTACGTGTCCGTTTTTATTTTTCAGTTCCCCATGGCAGAGCAACACTTTGCTTGCTTCAATTCTAGGGTCCTTCTGCTTTTCATCCAGATACTCCAGCTTGTCAATGTAATATTGGCATTCTGATTCACCTTTCTTCACGTTGATATCAGAGAGAACTCCTTGTATTATCAGTATCTAAAAAATTATATATATATAAAGAAATCAATGGTGCATTTTCAGCATATTAATTTATCCTTATTTTCCTACAGGACTAAAATGTTGCATTAAAATGATAAAATTTTACAGCTTGAAGGGACCCCAGGAATCAGATAATTCAGTCAATCCCTTCATTTTACGCTGTCAGCCACACTGGTGATTTGCCTGAAGTCACACAGCTAGCTAATGGAAGAGGTCAGATTAGAACCCAGTCTCCCGACTAAAACATAAGTAAAACATATGTTACACCTTTATACTACTGCACAGTGAGCTAACGCACGAGAACTGAAAGTTCATGTACTCATTCAGCATGCAGAGGCTGTGAGGGGATCGCTGTGTATCTTTCTCAGGCAAGCTAACATGCAAACTGGCAAAGCACAGGAACCACTTCTTGGGCTACTTACAGCCTCCTGCAGGAGCTGAACATCTGGGTGGTCTTTGGGAGTATGTCTAAGAATCTCTTTCAACAGTAAAGGGTATTTGACAAGGCGGCTTCGAGGAATATCCAGGAAGCTCCAGAGATCCAGTTTTCGGCTGAAGGGAGACTCCAGGCACCGTTGGAGAAAGTCCTGGACTCTTGGGTCCTGTTTCTTCTGATCCAGAAGAGCCTTGGCTGCCAGCTGGTTACTGCAGTAGCCTTTGTAGGCATTCAAGCCCGGCAACTAAACAGCAGTAAGAGAAATCAAAGTATAGTCCAGTAGTGAGATTGCAAGCATACGACATGAAACTTAGAGCTATTCGTGAAAGTTTTAACAAGCTGTGAAGATTCTCCTGCAGGTGATAATGGGTGACTGTTCTCTCACTTGACTGTACATGCAAAGGCTGTCTTTCATCACCAAACCTCAGCCGTCCCTCCGAGAACAGGGCCTGGCATCGGCAGGCACTCAGATGTTAACTGAGAGAGTTAGACAGGTAATTAACAGCATGTAACATGGGAATTCTGTTTAAGAAGGAACATATTCTTAAAACAAATGAAACAGTGTCATTCATGATATGTTTTTCTTAAAACAGTGACTGTAACTTCTATGTACATTTGTTCAGTTTTAGAGTCACATTTATCTGATTTTAGAATCCACTAACTGGATCAAATCAGTGTGATCCTGATCACAAGTGACAAGCCCGCCCTGTCTGCATAAACATGCTACATACCCAGTTCACAAGAATGTGGCCAACGTGCTCCACTGTCCCGCCAGGCTTGGTGGCTTCTCCTATTCTTGCCAACAAATCTGAAGTGTAAGAAAGCAGAAATTCCAAGAATAAGTTTACTTAAAAACAATTCAGGGAGGAGCAAGACAGGAGTAGGGGATTAAGGGGTACAAACTACTGTGTATGATATAAGCAAGCTACAAAGACATACTGCACAGCACAGGGAATTGTAGCCGTAACTTTAAACGGAGTATAATACTTAAAAATATTAATCACTATGTTGTACACCTAAAACTAATTTTGTAAATCAACTCTATGTCAATAAAAATTTTAAAAATATGCTGAATTAAATTAGAAGTTTAGATTTAAAATTGTTGTTGCTGTTCAGAATCTTACGAAAATTAGGGAGCACACCTTACCTTCATGCAGAGGTATATAAGCATCCAAATCACCAAATATATGTGTGAGCTCCTCTTCTGACATAATAGACAGCTTTAACATGGGGTCGTGGTAGGCCTGTTGGAGGGGAGAAGTGCGTCACACACAGATCAAGCAAATAAAACACGAAGAGAGGTCGGCATGTGAATCAAGCCTGACTATGTAAAAACCAGAGTGGATATTATTTTATACCTAATAGAGATTAAAGTACACGTTAATCTTGACAAACTCTTTTTGATATTCATATTTGAAGAAATGCCTCTAATAAACCTCATCTGAAATTAGTATTCACCAGTAGATATTCTCTACTTTTCAACTTCTAAAGGTAACACCCTTAAGAATTTGTGGAACATAATTTTTAAAACCTATGGCACAGGAGAGAAAGTTCTTTACTGACCTTTCTTGCAAGTTTGAGGTCCTCAATTAAGTCCTGTTCCCCTCGGGACATTTCATAGATTGCCTAAAAAAATCCAGCAAACATCACAGGTCACTCCTTCCTTTCAGAAAGGAAAATCACATACAATGCATAGTTACCATTATTTAATTGATGCTTGAACAGCGCTTTTCAAAGTGACTCATTCTGAACACTATAATTCAGAATGGAACTTCTAATAAGAGGATGCCATACGTTTCATATTCTACCCCATCAGGGTGTTAAACCAAATGACCACCACCCTCTGCAAGTGCTGAAAACGGCCACTCAAATGCAAAAATGCAATTCTACCTTGCCGGAGGTGTTAGTTTGCTATTCTTCTGGCAAAGCACATGTTTAAGAATCAGAGTCTATGTTTCAGTTTATGCTAGTGCACACAGTTTTGCTGTGGGGCGCACACCTCTTGACGTCTGATCTCCCTGGAGGTTAGAGACTGCTTCATGCTGCCGTCTAACGTCTCCGACCACAGGGCGCTGCTTCTCCTCTTGGCAGGCACTGGGACTGTCGACCTGCTAGAAAACTTTTGGGCTGAAGCTGGGGATCTGCTGTCACCACGAAGGGTAAATGACTTAAAAGAAAAGAAAAAAGTGAAAAAGAAAAAGCTTTGGAGGATACAGAAACTATTTTTTCCTCAAAAAAAAAAAAAAAAAAAAAAAAGGTTCTGACAATTTCTTTATGCATAAAAGTCGTTTATGTCAGCTTCAATCTGACAGTATTATAAAGTATTTGTCAGTCAAAATTACTTTCTGGGAATAAAAACTATCCAAGTTCTTGCTTTGCTCTAAGATGTAAACTAATATAATGAGATTATATAAATAGTTTTGACAACAACATTACTTAACAGCTTATTCCAAAAGAGGAAAATTATATTTAAGTATAACAGTACAAACCTGTCTGTACAGCTCAAAGAAAATGCAAATTTTAGGCTCCTATAAAAAGTCACCTCACTGCCTTACTTGCTCCTACCTGTAATGTTTGACCAAACCGCCTGACAGCTCCATTTCTTACAGGAGAGATTAGATTTGCCAAGGATGTGACCCGAGCTAGAGGTCGCACTCTTTTATTGCTTGGTTCCTGTGAAAACAAAAACAAGTTATACTAAACATGTGTTTAGGTATAATGATTTCAAGCAAGTTTGGACAAAACGTTAAGATCTCTCAAAAGTCAGATATTTATACAGTATATACAAGAAACATGGAACTCTGAAAGTCAATGTTGTTTCTCACTGTTAAAATATGAAGAACACTATGAGGAACAGAAAATTAAAAAATAAATGGTACAAGAAAGGTCAAATATCTGAACATCACTGAGAACATAACGTATCATTAAACAACAACAACAGCAAAAAAATCCAAAATTAAAACAAAAGAATTAGATTCTAAAATCCCACAGAAACTTTTAGCTTAATATAGAGAGTAACTTTAAAAAAACACCTTCTTATTATGAAAAATCAAACATTCACAAAAGGGGAGAATTGCATAATGGATCTTGGTCTAACAACTGGTTTCATCTGTGCCCATACTGAAATATTTTACAGCAAATGCCAGACCTTCTATCATTTCACTCTTAAATACTTCACTTAAAGAACAGCCTTTAAATGAAGGCATCTGACATTGGGATGAGTCAGCTCCAAGGCAGCCAGGTCCCTGTGGTGGGAGGTGTTCAAGCACAGGTAGAACAGTGGTTAAGAGGAGGCTGAGCCTCTGGACTCAGACCATGTGGGCCCAAATCCTGGTTCTGACACTTGACAGGAAACGTCCTGATTCCCAATGTTCTCATCTGTAAAATGGGGTTAACATGAGAACTTCTCTTATAAAGGTGATATGAAGATTAAATAAGATGTTTAAAGGGTTCAGAATAGTTCTTGGAACATACTGAGTTTTAGCTATTACTGACATCCTTTCTCAGGAATATTTCCACTCACTATGCAAACGCTGGTATTTATAAATAATTTGATCCTCTCATACATTTAATTATCAAGGAAAAATATACACAGATTGAGAAAATATAATTATTTTACATATATTGCTTTTAAAACAATAATAATATAGCAAACACATCATTTACCAAAGATTCCAAAACCTTACAAACTGCATTTCTTTAACTTTACAGCTAGGAGAGAGGAGGCACTCCACCAGGTGACTCACACAGCTGCCTAGGTAATGAAGGTTAGATCATAAAACAGTCCTACCCTTTATAATGTCTATGGTGCATAATTATTTGTTTGTAAGTCTTGGTGCCTTTGGCAATTGTGGCATACTTGACAAAATTTTAATGAGGCTACAGAAGGGTACATGATGAAAAATTATACAAAACTCACTACTGAAAAATGACAGATGAAATTTTTTTCTAAAAAATCTTTGCTATGACCCAAGTCATGAAAAAGAGCAAAGTGAGTAAAAATAATCCCTTGAGAATAATTTGAGCATAGAGTGGCAGAAAGGGTTAAAATCCTCCAGAAAGAACTTAAATGATGGAATATCCAAATAAGCAAAGAGACCTATCGAGGCTCCGAAGGTGTGGACACAGTCAACCATGGCCAGGAGGCTCTGCAGACAGACCACACATTCCAGGCCCCTGGTCAGTCCTGAAGAGGTAGTGCAGCAGGCCAGCCCCCACCCCCACTCCAAATAAGTGACTCCGAAGTAAAACCGTGACTATAAAGCCACAAGTGTGCGAATGTTAAATGAACTGAAAAAGAAACCTCCCGAGATATGTACTAAAATGATGCACTGTGTGGTTGAGGACATGTGTGAATGCCTTTACCAGACCCATCTGTACAAGACTGAAGGGACATATGTGCGGGCAGAAGGCAGGCAGAAGGCATTCCTTTCTATTTAGTAAAGGCAGGACAAAGACGCTTCTGTGTGAACAGAGATAGAATTACCTCACAAAGTAAGATATGCCAGCACCAAGGAGAAACAGAGCAGTTGTCAGAAAGATCTGCTTCACCGATTGGAAGGAGAGGTTAATTCCTCATCCTTGTTTAGAGCATAACCAATCTGACTTCCTGGTAAATCATAAAATATTTAATTTCAATTGAAAAGTCTCTGGAAACATGCTCTTCCCAGTGAATTTGAAAGGAAAAGTTAAGTTTAGCTGGAAGGAAAGGAATTTCTGATATCTATTTTAATACATAAAATAAAAACTTATCTTTGGATCAGTCAGTACAACTACTAATTTCCTGGTAACGTAAAACTGTGATATTTAAAATGAAAACTACTGAATTTAATTTAGGTAATTAAATGTAAAGATATCTAAAGCATCCTTTTGAAACTAAAACTGAAATGTGGATTCTCTCTCTGAGGGCGGTGGGGTATATGTATGGTGTTACATATGTTCCCAGCCCTTGAGAAGCTCACCCATAATCTCACTGCTTCACAAAGGAGATGCCAGTCTCAGGAGTGTATCTAATCTAAAACGTCTGGGAGGAGCGCCTGGCTAGCTCTGTCACAGAGCAAGATACTCTTAAGTCTGTACCAAAGTAGTGCTGAATCAGGAGTACACGGAGGAGGGCTTGGGGTGAGAGGGCATCTTCGTACTTTCCATACTGGCTTTTGGTATCTGAAAGTAATTTTCATGCCTTACTAAACATTCACATGTGAAGAATGCTTGTAAGATGCAACACAAACTTTTAGCATATATACTTATTACAAAAGTACAGAAAACTTTAATGAATAACTAATTCAAAAAGTATGATTGAAAGGCAAAGATGTAATACTGAATATGGCTCACTAATCTCAGGATAAACACATAAGAAAAAAATCAGAGACAACTGTTATGGAAAAGTGCTATAGGTCACCTATAAGGTAGGGACAACAAATTGTCTTTTACGGGTTAGAATTTGGTCTGTGTGAGCTACAACCAAGAGCAGTGTTTCTTTAGAGGCTGAGACGAGCCATCTAACCTGCCCTGGTTTCTGGTGGGGAGTGCTGGGAATCCACCCATGTCTGTCCCTCTGCAAGCGAAGGAACAGAAGGTAGGCATCTACCTGCCTTACCAGTACCCAAATAAGGCTTTCTTCCTGGTTTTATTGTCATGTCATTTTTGTTTTGAAGTGTTGTTAGCAACACTTCAAACATAGTAAACACTTCAACACTTAGTAAACATAAGAAGCTTAAAGAATGGGTACAGATAGTGAAACTGGATACCCTCCTTCAAAAACAAAAATGATCTGAAAACCCAGGGGAACAATAAAGAACATGAGCAAGTTTCACACGTTCAAGGAACTTTCTACTGTCGGCAACCTTTCACTAGGGCTAAAGTTCACTTAGAGGGAAAAAACCCAACACCCTCTAATATAAATTTATGTTGTTTATTTAAGTTAGCTTTTAACCAGACTATCTAGGTTAGCCAGGCAATCATATGTATTGTTATAGGGAATCTGACTTGAGACCTAGTATTTAATCAATCTATTTATTTCACTAACCCAGTTGTACTCAGATTTTATGCCTTAAAATATTTTCTGTATAGCTACAAACAGAAAATTCTTAAAAACAATTTAAAGTCTTTTACTGGGATGTACCTTGTGCATAAAAGCAACAATATGGAAAAGCTCTGAGGTGAACCCTGTTTTTTTGTAAAGAGTTTTTTTTTCTCCTCAGGATGTCACATAGAGGATATACTTCTTTGGGGGGGGTCATCTTTTGTAGAATCAACCAAATCAAGACACAAAAAAACAAGTGTTTGGGTGTACTCATTTGGGTTACTGGATAAGTAATTTTCTCCTCTATTTGGCAAAAGCTTTAAGAAGAATGAAAAGAAAAAGTTATTTATAAAAAGATAAAAATGAGTTATGATCACATAGGATTTCTTCCCTTTCCTCTTAGTAATAAATAGTCAAATATAGTTATTTATTTAAGGCTGTGCTGCTAAAAGCCTGATGACATTCCTGGTGTTTTTAATCTTTGGAATAAAGGTATGCCGTAAACACGGTCAGTGTCTGATACCAAACAAGACTAGTTCTGCTTTAGTATTTACACTGATGACCACATTTGCGAAAACTGAAACACAAAAGCCAAAACCAAACAGAAAAACGAAAACCAAAGCCAAATCACGTCTTTTAAAGATAGCAGCTATTTTAACTACCAAAGGTGTGTGTGTGTGTGAGAGACACACAGCTTTGCTGAGACACACAATACACTGCGCATATTTAAAATGTATAATTACGTAAGTTTTGATATAGGTACATGGCCACAAAACCATCACCTCAAAGCAGCGGCATATAGTTAACTGAATACAGGAGTGATATTTCTATTCCATCAGCAATGACAAAGTACATACCATAGAGTATATCTATTGCTGTTATATATATAGAACGAGCACATAGCATTAACTATTAAAATTAAATAAGTGGCATAAAAGTCACTTAATTTGATAAATGTTCATAAAGACCTTAAAAAAGTACAATAACTTTAGGTAATTAAAGCAAGGACAGGCATAAGTACCTAAATAATGATTCGCTGGCTTAAATAATTTAACATATTTTTCTTTCTGAAGGACAAAGCCACACACAACGAACTTATTAGATGTAGAAAGAAAATTAAAAATGAACGCTGGCATTTTGTTCACTAGCATTAACTTGTAACTAAGGGATTCCTACTTTCTGCTTACTCCACAGCCCAGTTCCTAAGACTGACTAGGTAACAGAAATAAATGCAAGACAAAAAAAAAAAAACACCCCAAAACAAAATCTAACCAAACAAAAAACTGAATTAAACATCAGAAATGTGACCAATTCAACCAAACTGAAGTATATACATTTAAAATATTTTTCTTTTGTATAAAAGTTTATATACACTTAAGTAACGCTATGCATAAACACATTTCAAACCTACATGTGAATCAAGGCCACTTTAGTGCTCAGTAAGAGCAAAAGTTCAGTTTAGCGTCATACTGTTAATACACTGTTCAAGAGGGTAAGTTTCGTGGCGTTAGAAACCTTCCCTGGGCTGTTCTCCTCCAGTCTTACCTCCTGCTCTCGGAAGGACTGGTTGTTCACGTCGAGGACTCGTATAGTCCTTTTAATGGGCAGGAGACCTCCGACCTCATCGTGCGCCACCATGCTTCCCTAA